CTCAGGCTTGGATCTAAGGCCTGGTTTGGCTCAGGTTGGGCTCAGGCTTGGATCTAAGGCCTGGCTTGTTTCAGGCTGGGCTCCAAGGTCTGGCCTTGGGTCAGGCTTGGATCTAAGGTCTGGCCTTGGGAGAGGCTTGGTTTCAAGGCCTGGCTTGGCTCAGGCTGGGCTCAGGCTTGGCTTGGCTCAGGTGTGGGTCTAAGGCCTGGCCTAGGCTCAGGCCGGGCTCACAGTGGTCCCTGTCCGGCCGAGCAGCTCCAACCCAAATCTTCCCCCTCAGGAAGCAGCAGGAAGTGGCTGGACACTGAAATCCTCCTCTTCCCTCCTTTTTCCTCCTCTTCCCTCCTTTTCCCTCCTCTTCCCTCCTTTTTCCTCCTTTTCCCTCCTTTTCCCTCCTCTTCCCTCCTTTTCCCTCCTTTTTCCTCCTTTCCCCTTCTTTTCCCTCCTTTTTCCTCCTTTTTCCTCCTTTCCCCTTCTTTTCCCTCCTTTTCCCTCCCTTTCCCTCCTTTGCCCTCCTTTTCCCTCATTTTTCCTCCTTTTTCCCTTCTTTTCCCTCCTTTTTCCTCCTTTGCCCTCCTTTTCCCTCCTTTTTCCTGCTGTTTTTAACTCCGGCAGAGCAAACAAACCCCCAGGTCACCCTCCAGGCTCCAAAATCCGAGGGCAAAAAGGGCAGAAATGAGAAAAACAACGACAACAATTTAAAAAACCACCTTTTTTTCTCCTCAGTGAAGAAATAAGTGGGAAAAAAGAGCAAAAAAGGGCATTTTTGGCAGCCAGCAAATGATTCATAACGACCCCTCCGACCCCAAGAAGGTTCCACGACCTCCCTGTCGGATCCCGAGGAGCTTAAAAAGGCCGGGAAGGAGAAGGAATTCAGGGAGAAGGAGCTGGAAAAGGAGGAAAAGCAGGAGGGGAAGGAAAGGAGGTGAGTTGGGATTTTCCTCCTTCCCTTTATTCCCAGGCTGGGAAGGGATGAAAACAGGGAAGAAAAGGGGTAGGATTGGATTCAAGATCTAAGAAAAGGGGTTTGGGGACAGGGATAAAAATCTGATTTTTGGGAAATAAAGGGAGGGGGGTGGGGTTTTATTGCCCTTGGAATTCCTAAGGAATCCAGCAAAAATAAAGGATGGAAAATTTTAATTAAGCGACTCTTCCGGAAGGGGCTTTTCAGGGAAGTTCTCTCTGGCACCGTGGGGAGGATTCCAAGGTGGGAATGGGTGGGAAAAGGGGAGATTTGGGATGATGTTGATAATTAGCTTTGGATAATGTTTAATTATGTAATAAAATTATATATTATAATTACATAATATAATATATAATGTATAATATTATAATATATCAATATACTATATAATAGTAATATATTATATATTATATTAATTTAGTTATTATATTAAATTATATTATTTTAAAAGATTTAAATTACATTATTATATTAATTATTTATTGTATTAATATAATGTATTAATATAAATTATATTATATTAATATATAATATTATATTGTATAATTATATTATAATATATTAATACAATATATAACATATAGTATATAGTATATAACATAGTATATTATATATTATATAATATATATTATATTAATTATGTAATATAATTTTTATAGTAATATATTATATAATAATTATTTTATTAATATATAAAATCTAATATATAATATAAAATATATAATATTATATATTATGTATGATATTATATATATAATGTAATATAATATATATAATATATAATATAATATATATAAAATATAAATTATCTAATATAAAATTATGCAATAAAATTTCATTGGATTGTGACATCTTTGGATGTCATTCCATGGGCCAAGGCCCATCCCAGTGGGAATTGCACCGGGATTCCCAACAATCCTGGGAAGGGTGCGGGTTCTGTCCCGTGGATCTGTCCCATCCCAAAGCTTCCTGCAGGGATCGGAGGGGTGGGCGGGAATCCCATCCCAGGGCATTCCCGGTGGGACTGCAGGCATTCCCGGTGGGATTTGAGGCATTCCCGACTGGATTGGGGCATTCCCGGCTGGATTTGGGGTGTTTCCAGCCGGATTGGGGCATTCTCGGTGGGTTTGGGGGCATTCCCAGTGGGATTTGGGGGCATTCCTGGCTGGATTTGGGGGCATTCCCGGCAGGATTTTGGGCATTCCCGATGGGATTTTGGGGCATTCCTGGCTGGATTTGGGGCATTCCCGGCGGGATTTGGGGGCATTCCCGATGGGATTTGGGGGCACTCTCGGCTCGATTTGGGGCATTCCCAGTGGGATTTGGGGGCATTCCCGGCAGGATTTGAGGCATTCCCCATGGGATTTTGGGCATTCCCGGCGGGTTTGGGGTATTCCTGGCAGGATTGGGGCATTCTCGATGGGATTTGGGGGTATTCCCGGTGGGATTTGGGGGCATTCCCAGCTGGATTTGGAGCATTCCTGGCAGGATTTGTGGCATTCCCGGCTGGATTTGGGGGCATTCCCGGCAGGATTTTGGGCATTCCCGGCTGGATTTGGGGCATTCCCATCGGGATTTGGGGGCATTCCCGATGGGAATTGGGGGCACTCCCGGCTGGATTTGGGACATTCCCAGCGGGATTTGGGGGCATTCCTGGCAGGATTTTGGGCATTCCCGGCGGGTTTGGGGTACTCCCAGCAGGATTGGGGCATTCTCGATGGGATTTGGGGTATTCCTGGTAGGATTTGGGGGCATTCCCGGTAGGATTTGGGGGCATTCCCAGAGGGTTTGGGGCATTACTGGCTGGATTGGGGCATTCCCGGCAGGATTTGGGGGCATTCCCGGCAGGATTTGGGGCATTCCCGGCAGATTTTGGGCATTCCTGGTGGGATTTGGGGCATTCCCGGCAGGATTTGTGCCTCCTGCAGGACAATCCGATGGTGCGGTGGTTGTTTCTGGCTGGGCTGGTGCTCGCCCTGCTCCTCCCACCGGGAATCCGGGCAGCTCCCGAGGGGCTGGATGGCCCATCCAGGTATGGAATGTGGGATCCAGGAACATTCCCATGTCCCCCCTGGAATTTCTGGGCTGTCCCAGATCAGGAACATTCCTGTGTCCCTGCAGGAACATTCCCATGTCCCTCCAGGATTTCTGGGCTGTCCCAGACCAAGAAAATTCCCAGTGTCCCTCCAGGAACATTCCAGTGTCCCACCAAGATTTCTGGGATTTTCCAGACCAGGAATATTCCCATTGTCCCTCCAGGGACATTCCTGTGTCCCCCCAGGATTCCTGGGCTCTGACAGACCAGGGACATTCCCATTGTCACTCCAGGGACATTCCCATTGTCTCCCCAGGGACATTCCCATTGTCTCCCCAGGAATTCTGGGCTCTGTCAGACCAGGGATATTCCCGTTATCCCTCCAGGACCATTCCCATTGTCCCCGCAGGGACATTCCCATTGTCCCTCCAGGAACATTCCCGTGTTCTCCCAGGATTCCTGGCCTGTCCCAGATCAGGGACATTCCCGTTGTCCCCCCTCCCTTTAGACATTAAGGATTTATTTCCATTTCCATTTCTGGGATGATCCCACTGGGATGGCTGTGAAACCCTGGGGAGGGTGTTTCCCTCTTCCTCGTCTTCCAGCCGGAATTCCGACAGATCCCGGAGCTCCCAAAGCTTCCCATCCGATGCCAAGAGACACTCGGAGGGGACCTTCAGCAGCGACTTCACGCGGTTCCTGGACAGGATGAAAGCCAAGGAATTCGTCCACTGGCTCATCCAGGGCAGGAGGTGCCGGGAAACGGGAGAGGGGAGGGAAAAACCCGGGAAACCAGCCAGGAATGACTGGGAAACAACCTGGGAAACCACCCGGGAAATGATCCGGGAAATGACCTCCCAGCACGGAAACCCCAATCCAGGCGGGAGAGCGGGAGAAGGGAAGGATCCAGGGAGAGCTTGGAGCCACTTCCAGGGCTCCAGGAGAGCTGGAGAGGGATTTGGGAAGAGGGACGGAGGGACAGACACAGGGAGTGGCTTCCCACTGGGAAAGAGGGGATTTAGGGGGGATTTTGGGAAGGAATCCTTGACCGTGAGGGCAGTGAGGGGCTGGGATGGAATTCCCAGAGAAGCTGTGGCTGCCCCTGGATCCCTGGAAGTGTCTAAGGCCGGGCTGGATCCCCCCGGGATGGTGGGAGGTGTCCCTGCCAATGGAAAGGTGGGATGGGATTGATGGGATGGATGGGATGGGATTTAAGGTCCCTCCCAACCCAACCCATTCCAGGATTCCTTGATTTTGGAGCCAGGCTGGGAGAGCTGGGGGTGTTTCCCTGGAGAGGGGAAGGATCCAGGGAATTAGAGCTTTGGGATGGGAATTGGAACTTTGGAGAGGGAATTGGAATTTTTTGGGATGGGAATTGGAATTTTTTGGGATGGGAATTGGAATTTTGGGATGGGAATTGGAACTTTGGGATGGGAATTGGAACTTTGGGATGGGAATTGGAACTTTGGGATGGGAATTGGAACTTTGGGATGGGAA